AATTCATTTGTCCGGTACTGTAGTTCCCGGGGAGGATTCTTCCTCCTCCACGAGTTTACAAGGCATTGCTCGCAGACGATACGCCTCATGGATATGTATTCACGATCGGAGGGAACGATTCATTAAATTTAGACGCTTAACGACCGACGCTTTTTTTTTGTCTGGAGGCGAGCGAACCAGAGAGAGAGAGAAATGCTTCGTTCTTCGAGCGGTCTGCGTCGATGTAATTAACCTCTTCTACTGGCAAGTGTAACTCTGAAGTTACACATGAATTTTACTATTTATCGACACTAGAACTGGCTGCGTTGAATGTATACTAAATTTATATTGTATAAAATTGTAATATACAAGGTGTTCAAAAAGGATCTAAAACTTCAGGTCTGGGCTTCTTAACCCATTCTATGTTTACGTTGAGTATACTCAAAAGTTGGTATTTTTTGTTTAGTGTCGAGTCTACTCGTCATTAAAGAAATTTTTGTTTGCTATTTAAAGTAAAATTTAGGTAAAACAAAAAATATATTCGTAATTTTAATACGTGTTAGAATATTTTTAGGACGAAACAAGAAAACATGCAAAGAAAAAATCACTTAAGCAGTATGTGTACGAGGGCTGTTTGATAAATGGGAGCTCACTTATTGGTACATACGCCGAATATTTTGAACTTTCGGAGATGACGATCTCTGGATCGTTTTCTGCGATAATTGGAGGATAATCAAGGTCGATGTTTCAACGATTGCTTGTTAAATAATCGAGAGATGCTGATAGCGATTAAGCCACGCTGGAACGCCGCGAGCAGAGGATAGAAAGGCGAGAGACAGGCGGTACTTGACCGTGTGGGACGTGCACCACGCCCGATCCGGAATATTTCATACGATTTCTTTTTCATAATCGCGTCCCCCGGTTATTGCCACAATCAGCATGTGCAACGTACGCTCGTTAATCTCGCCAGTACCCTATCCCAGTGACTGAACACAAGAAAAAAGCAATAAATAAAATAAACAGAATCGAGAAAAAAAAAGAAATGAATAAAATTACCAGAATCAAGAAAAAAAGAATAAATAAAAATAACAAAATCAAGAAAATTATACTCGAGCTTTATGATCATTAAATTATAAACCTACACCTGTGTTTTATCTTTGTCAAAGTGGACATTAAAATTACTCTGGATTGCAGATTTTTGCGTGAATTCACAAAAAGTAGAATGAGAATTGTTTTAATTGTTGTCAATGCTTTTGTACTTCAGTATTTTCTGGCATTTTTCACATTTACTAGAAGCGCATGAAATCTGCAAGTAATTATACCATTCAGAATGGTATATTTCTGTGGAATTTTGTTAACGTGAATGAAAGAAGTGTATCTGTTACGTTTTTTGATTTACGGAATCACGGTGAATTAAACGATCCATGGGGGAAAAAGTAATGGCAGATGCTATAAATCTCTTTCCTTCCAGTGAACAGCGAGCGCATGGGAACGTACACGGGAGTATCAAAGGCACTTTAATGATCCAGTGAACTAATGAATATAATTGTTATCCAACGACACGCGGTAAATCGACATACCACCTCAACGTTGGTTTTATTTATTTATCTCAAGGTATACACGTGGCTACGAGCCAACGACCGCGATTATTAATTGCTTAAAGTTCAGAAAAAAAAATCGATACCAAAGACCTGATACTTAATAAACAAAATTTTACTAGAAGCAGAATTATTCAACAAATTGGTACAACTCGAGTAATTAAACCATTACAACATTCTGTATTACACAAGAATGATCGTTAATAACCTTGCAATTAATTAAAAGAATTTCACTATGCTAGCTGAAAGGAATATTTTTAGAAACTGAATATAATGAAACTGCAATTGTCGTCGATCGATAAGCAGGCTTTAAAATAGTATCTCATCTTGCTAAACCTCTAATTATCCAAGTATTAAGCGGATTATTCAATTACCAACGCGTAACATGTCCCCATGAAAAACGAAATAAAACACTTCGACCATACAATGACGAATCCCTTGAATATTTTACACGTTATCAAAACCGTTTAATTTAAACATCAAAACTCGACAATCTCTGCCCTCACAAATTTTCGTACACCTCGACCACGACCTTCTTTACATTCAAATAGATTACAGGAAATTTCAATCGAAGGGTAAGAGGAAAGAGACGGTTTTTCTCCATGAAACTTCGCAGATCAACACGGTGAAAGGGAACAGATTCTCGACATGGGAGAACGTTAACGAGAAAAGGGAGAGAGAGTAGGAAGACGAAAGGATTCTTCAAATTCCATCGAATGATTTTTCTGCGACGGATTGCGACGGCGGTAACCGTAGGTCCCAGTGTGTGCGTTTCTCTGTGTGCGCGTACGTTTCGTATGCAAGTGTGACCACCGCCTAATACGTGCCGTCGCGGCACATACTAATTAGTTGTGCGAGCGAAACGCGCCGTGAATACGACTTCGCGCGGGCAGACAAACATTAGATACGAGCAGCGGTGCTCGAGGCTGCGGCTCGGACCTGCTAGCAATTTCCTGCTCGCGAAATGTTTTTTCGAAAACCTTGCCTAAGGACTCTGGTGTTCGATTAAGGATGTTGCATAACAGAACTGTAAGTATCGGATACTCCAACTATTCGAATAATTCGAATAGGAATAATTTATTTGAATAATTCGTATTCGAATAATGTATTTAAATAATTCGAATACGTCGGATAATTTATTTGAATAATTCGTATTCGAATAATGTATTTAAATAATTCGAATACATCGGATAATTTATTTGAATAATTCGAATACATCGGATAATTTGAATAATTCGAGTAATTTGAAGAATTCGAAAATGTATTACGAAGTATTTGAATAATTCTAATAGTACGAAGTATTCGAATATTGGAATATTCGATTCCTATTCAGTACAATACAAAATTCGAGCACTTCGAATATGAAATTCGAATTCTACTGCTATTCGAATATTCAATAAGAATTGTCACCGAAGATTACTAGGTGTACGGTCCTGTTTCGCAGTCAGTATTAGTCCCACGAACAGAATACTTGCAACCAACTATAAAACTGCACAGTAAAACATGCGGACATTGTTCAACATAATTCCGTAATAGGGATTATTTCCGAAACAAAAACATCGTTGCCCGACTAAAGAATCAACAGGTATAAAGCTCATTAAAGAACGCATCGCTCGGGCTATAAAGAAGCCTCCCCCCCCCCCCTCTTCATTCGATCGACGAAACGGTCCGTATCAGAAGAACAAAGACGAATCTAAAAGTACGTCAACTACACGTCGACCGTGGGCAATTTACCGGAATAAAGAAACGTACCGGAATAAAGGTGCCGCCAGACGACTAATTAATATCAATGGAACTCACGCCGTACGAGAACGGTGGGGTCCTTGAAAAATGATGTACCAATGAACAGTCTATACCGTTTCTCATCGGTACCCAAATAGGTAGAGGTATATACATATATATCGACCGTAAAACAGGTCAAGAGCTCGAAAACAGAACCACCTGGATCGTAGGTACGCGCAGGTAAACCGGGGCAATAATCGTTAGAACAATTTACACACCTGAGAATCGGTTATAGAACGACGCCTTCAGGGGGACGAAGGGTAACAATAAGCAGGGGGGGGGAGAGACCTGAGGTAGCCGAAGGAAATTCGAGGGCTTTGTCACCACGGGGACAGCTGACCGGTAGAAGCTCCCTTTCGCATAAACGACGTCAAGTGCATCCGGTATGCGCTCGCGCGGTGCAATAAAAGTGTTCACCGTGCACTGCCGCCGGCTCGAAGTCACGTACGGGTATACTAAACCGGTCCCTATATACCCGGTCTGGGACTAATCGGTGGGACGACTCGCGAGCAAACTATTTCTCTCTCTTTCTTTCTCCTTCGTCCGATAACAGGTAGTACACTCGAATCGTAAAACTGTCGTACCTGGGGCCGAACACGCGCGACTGCGAAAATTCGCACGAGCTCGAATGGGGCTCGACGGGTGGCTCGAGACTCCGCGCCCACGCGCGAGAACAAATTCGATTGACGATCGGGATTCCTGAATAATCATGAAAAAATGAGATCGTTGCACGATGGGTCTGTAAATGTGGGTTGTGTAAATATTCTGGCGAGACGACATCCTTTTTCGCTGAGAACTAGCAACTTGTTTTCGACTTATTTGGAACGACTTTTTTTTTGTAGAAGTTAAGTATTCTATACTTGGCTTATAGAATAAAATTGGATACCAATACAGAAACAGAGAATAGAGATAAGATAGTATATAGCAATAGGAAACACAATAAAAATATTATGCAGTAAGGAAGACAAATTATAAAACAAATACGTGCTATGTTAGGCCGGAGATTGTACTAGGCAAAAATTCTCATTACGATCAAATAAGTAAATAAATAAAAAACTAAAAATAAATTCTCTAAAAGAATACAAACAATTCTAAAATTTTCTCAAAACACAAATAATTCTAATTAAGAAAAGCTGTAAGTAAAGCTGTGTCTACACTATGTAGCCTTATAGTTAGAATAACAGGAACGTTACATACCATTATTTGTGTCATACAGCAAATTATATGTTACCATTATGTGTGACACTATTATTAACAATGAGACGCGAAATGTTACACAAACTTATTATACACTTGTCCAAAATGTATAATCTTGTACGAAATTATAAAAACCTGTTATACAACAATTTGTTATATACCACTGTTCTGCTACATACTGTACACCCAGATTTAAACATGTCTTTCCATTTAAAAAAAACGTAGTTTCGACTTTCATATGACCTGTACGCGTCCACCTATCAAAAAACTAATCACATGAAATTATATGCTCCTCGATACGATGCAAATTCGATCTGACACATTTTTTTTCACCAGTAATAACCGACATATTCAGGTGGCCTGTTACAAGTACCTCACCCTATATACCTTCATAATAAAAAGAACAATGGATTACTTATTGGTAAACCTAATGTATGCTTTTACCCCGCTCTCCTGTCCGCTGTAATGGCTCCAATAACCGGGCGACGGTACCGAGGAGACGCCGGGCTGCAACATCGAGCCGTTTCCGGTCAAACTACTCGGGCTAGAAGCCTGGAATTGATCCAGGTTCAATTGTCCGATCGATTGGCTCGGACTACGCGAGCTGCTGCTCGACGTCATCCGGGATCGATTGCAGCCGGCGACCTGCAGTGGACTCGACGGTCCACCTCCTGGACCGAGTCTTCCAGGTCTCATTTGCACCTGCTGCACCTGGACGCCCGTGATTTGGGCGTACCTCGCGGCTACGACTTTACTCTGCTCGGTGCTCGACTCGACACCGAAGTCGATCAGCCTGAAGTTCTGCTGATTCATCCTAAAGTCAGTGTTGTTGTTCTTGAAACTTCGGTCCATATCGAGGTTACCGTGTATCGGAATTAAACGCCTGTTCGGTTGCGTGTCCATGTTCCAGTTTCACACATTCTCGCTGGTGATAGCAGTTTACAACGTCCACTTGAAATTTTACCGTTCAAGTCAGCCCAACCGATGGCATATGAGGAACACTTGAAGAATCTGACGTTGAAGTGTGATCGTCGTCGATCGTGATCACCTTGGAGTTTGACGGAATGATAATATAATACTTCGTTAGGACAATTTTTCACTGTACATTACCAAAACAGGACTCGCCTAAAGATAGAGGATTGGTATTTATGGCTAGGATCACTAATGACGATTTACGACACAATATCTTCGCTATCTAAAGCCTCGGTTCTAGAGTTCTATGATTACACACTACTGTCCAGAAACGTCTCTTCGATTCGTGACACGTTGGTCTTTCGAAGTTGTTAAATAGGCCTCTACGGGGTATGGATTCTATCATCGTCGATCCCTTCGCGCTAGGAGTCCGATAAACTTGAACGACTGGCTTGATTCTCCTTCCAAAATCGCGTCGCCGTTCGAGAGAATTATGCAAAGTCGCGAGATAAATTTGTATCCGGCGTGCAACGTCGAGGATAAACAATCTCGCGTAGGACGACGATCGAGGGGAATATACCGCCCAAGCGTCCTCTAACACATTTAATGCAATTTATCGCTGCAGGAACTGCGATCGCTCGATTCGCAGACGACACGTCTCTCCCCGTTACTCTGGTTATTCGGTTAAGCTGGATCATTAATCAGCGAAGAAAGTTTCCAAGGAACCGTGTCCTCCGCCCCTGATTCCGTTCAATTTGAATTCCTCGAATCGTTCGAGCCTTTCGACGAATCTCACGCGAGCCCCCGGTCTCTCTGGGTCTTCGAACAATGCGTTTAATCGCGCAACCACGTTTTCTGTGCGCCTCGAAGCACTTTCACGGCGCATTGAAACGCGCACGAAAATATCCGTACGCCTGGGAAAGAACGCGAGCCTTCTTGGGACAGCAACTAACACTGTTGTGGAGCGAACGGTGTCTCAAACAACGTCAAACCATGTCAAACGATGATTTTCTTGAGTGTACTTTCGATCTGAAGTGAAACACTCGGATTTCTCGAAGGGAAGACTTTGTATTTCTGCAGAATGATCACGGTCTTGGTACACGGTTTGTCAAACAATTGGCAACTGCACGAGATGACGATTTCCTCGACACTTCTTTGTTATTTTCGAACTTCCACTTAAGATGCAAATTTTCCTCGTGAATTGAAATCTGATCGTAGATTGTAAGGAATTGTTCTGGGTTCTCCAAACACTTGCAAACAACATCCAACCGTGTCAAACGATGATTTTCTTGCGCGTTATTTCGATCAGGGATGAAACACTGGGTTTTCTCGAAGGGAAGACTTTGTACTCTTGTAGAATGATGACGGTCTTGGTACACGGTTTGTCAAACAACTGGCAACCTCGAGGGATGACTAACTCTACACTTCTTTGTTCTTGACGAACTTCCAGTTAGAACACAAATTTTCTTCCTTGATTGAAATCTGATTGTAGATTGTAAGAAACCGTTCTGAGTTCACGAAACACTTTTACAAACAACGTCAAACCGTGTCACACACCGAATTTATACAGTATTTTTCATAGTTTCCCTAAAATTTTTCTTTGTTCCCCTACAAAATTCCTAAAAACTGAAACGAATAAAGTAACAAGAGTAGCGAAGTAGTTCAAACACCCACAAACAGCATCGAACACAGAGTTTCTTTCTTTCAGAATCCACACTTCGTTCATCAACACCCTAACACTCTGAATCACAATAAAAACCAAAATCCCCACGATTAAACGACAAATCACTCCGAATCGCAATAAAATCGTCTCGTTGCCACAGTTCATCAAACAAGCTTCAACATCCACCAACCAATAATATTCCTTCACAGATCTATCTCTGCCGGACGAGTTCGTTGCCCAAATAAGAAACTATTCAAGATCACACGAAAACGATTCCACGTTTCACAGAACAATGTCTCAAACGCTCTCAAACCGAACGAAACGACGAAGTCTCTCGATCCCGATGGGAATTAGTTCGCGGTGTGCCGTGCGCGGCAGGCGTCGGATCGCGAGAACAATTGCTAGAGGATTAGAAGCCAGGCGGCGGCGGGCAGCTGGTTAGCCAGTAGAGAGACGACTGGTTTTGTTGCTCACATAAGCTACGCGCGCCACACGGAGCCTGGGTCCAGCGTGCCCCACCACGAAGACTTGTGTTCCCGTGGTGGCACATTGAACGCGCGCTCTTGTGCAAACCCCTCCCCCCTCTCACTCTTTGCCGCGTATCGGTCCTAGACTGTACTCGTCCCGTTTCCGCGCGCTCCCCGTCGCGTCGTAGCACTCTGCACACTATGTACTCGCCGCGTGCCAGTTGCAGTTTCTCGAAGTTCACGGAACACCTATAAGAATTTCATTGGAGGGGGGGCACTGTTTTGTCAGCCCCTTCCTGGCAGGTCGAACGATTTAAAGGGGTATTCTACTGCAGAGATGGGCAAACTTTTATTTAAATAAAAATTTCAAATAACGAATAAAAGATAAAAAAAGAACTTCGTCGTTTTCAATCGTTTAAACGTGGAAATTCTAATTTTTATAACAAAATAATTCTTCTTGAGTGAATTGACATTTGGCAAACTATTATTTAATCTTATTGACTGTTTAAAGTTTTGAACGATGCCCTTAGATATTGTTGCTTTTCAGTAGGTGTTATTCGAATAAAATTGTGCTCAACTCTGTTCTACTGTGACACGCGATTTTGTAATTTTTTTTTTAACGGTTTAATAAAAGATTTATATGCTGAACGATTCTTATGTATATTTATTAGATCGTGGACTATAAATAAAAATTATGTCCGGTTGGAAATATGAAATAAAGATGGCGCCTCGACCCATGGAAGTAGACCACCTCGAAAACAAATTGCACGATTGGTCCCCATGATCGTTCTGTTCGTTCGAAATAAAAGAATTGTAAAGATTTCTAAATTACTCAAGTATACCTATCGCAGGTACCAGATTTGGCTTGAAATATCAGAAATTTTAGAAACAGCTACAATTTCAAAAATCAACTATCGATTTTTCGAATTCCGTTTTCACAAAAAAATCTTTCTTCCAGTCTAAACATGGCTTGAAAAACCGTCCAAACTTCCTGTCAGGTCTAATAACAAATACTTAACCATAAACGATAATATAACAAAACATTACTCTCTCTGTACACAAAAAAGTTCCCGGTCTTTCGTGGATTACACGAAGAACGTTCATCCGAAATGAAAAGATTCGTCATCTCAGCATCCGCCAAATTCGTCCAAGAATATTCCACGATCCGTCTCGATCGACCCACTCCCCACCTCCGCGTGAATGTTCATCGAACAATCCAAACGATAACACTTTTTCGTCCGAGCCGGGAGAACGCGTGACGGAGCTTCCCAGAACTCCGTCGAGCGAGTGGGTGGTCGCTCGAGCGGCTTTGTCGCGAGTGTATCTCGATCAGAAAGCACTCTGCCCCCCTTACCCTCCTCTACATTTCGTCGCCCTCCGTCAGTCGGACGCAAACACGAGGCAAAGACTGTTTCCAGGCGTTTAGACCGCAGAAAGGGTCTCTCTTTCGCCTCGCGGGAGATTTTGCGGTTGTTAATAGAGGAGACCTCGTCATATCTGTTAATAGTACAATAAACAAACCGTTTATTAAATCGAAGATTTTGTAAATGTTAAAAAAAAATAATGCTGGAAAGATGTCCACGCTTATGCAAGTCGATTACTGCGATTTCTATTTTTTTTTTTAGTTCATCGTTATTTGTAGTTTCACAAAAGGGACCTTAGTACATTGTCTTAAATATGTAAAAATTCGTACATTAATGTAAACGACATTGACGTAAAATTTTATACACCGATTTTATGATAGAATTTAATAATCGACTATGTATATGTTGATACATTGGAGGCAAGCGTTGTTTTGCGACGTGTATCTGCCTTCTCTCGCCACCCCGCGACCTCCACCATTAATCGCGATATCTTAATCGGCTGTTTCTTCCCTTTTTCCGCCGGTCAAGTACCCCGAGCGCTAGAATCTCCCGCTGATTGGAAAACGAAGCTCGATCGAGCGGAAGATCGAGGGAGCGAAATCTCGTGAGCTCAAACGAGGATCGCGTCCGATTCATCGGGGAAATCTGAAGCTTTCTAATCTACGATTTTACGATGAAATCGAGAATTTCTGTAGAATGGTACCGATGGAACTAGAATTGTGCGTTACTAAGGCGTTACAATGTTTCCTTAAATAGTTAATAATTCAAGAAAACACATTTTTCACATTTACCAATTGTGACACTCCATTATGTATAATACTAAATATTATTCGAAAGAAATATTACCATAAACTAAGAATACAAATATAAAAATGGTACAAATAATACTCAACTAGAGAAAATGATTTTGATGAAATTTTCAACATGTACATAACTAACATAAATCTTCGATATGTGTTTATTAAATGTTCATTATAGCCTCAGATTAAAAAGTTGTAAAAAACGACCTTTACTATTTTCTTCGCGATTCCAACCAATTGCAACTTTTTCAATTTTTTTTTTACACGTCATTTAGTAAACTAATGCCTCTAACTTCATAAAATATTTCAAGTCGTTTGGACCAATTTTAAAAAAGCATGTACGAATACTTTTGACACCCAGTGTATCAATAAAGAAATACATACAGAACTTCCACCCAAAGTGTGTTTTATTTAAAAACAAAGTCCCTGTTGAAAAGCCTTGTACATACACCTGATATTATACTTTGCTTCTTTCATTTTCTTGAATTGCACTTGGTTATCTTACAAGGGAAGTTCGGTAACCCGAAAATTCCGATTTTGTTATATCTACGACAGTTTCAACGATATACAGGGAAATATGGAAACATCTATCTACCTTCAAGGGATGTTTTCTCCCCGAAGAACTGAAATTGGGCCAAAAACAAAAATACAAACCTGAAAAGGTTTAAAAAAAAAAATCGGAAATTTCAAGTCACCG